AGGAATTATGAAGCATAGTGGAGGGCCTTTGAAATAACAAACCCTAAAAATCTAATTAACGTGTTTATTGGACGGTTCTTGGATGCTGWTTTTTTCTTAACCCTAGAATGTTAAAATCATTCGTCACTGATAAAGCTTTATATCATAGCTCAATTCTGACAAGCCCACTGATTGCCGGATTTCATGAGAAAAGCTAAGGTTTATTTCGCCAGTCTGATTGCCGGATTTCATGAGAAAAGCTAAGGTTTATTTCGCCAGTTGACCAGCCTGCTTTCTTGAAAGACTTTTGAGCCTAAATTGCGGACGCCGGCTATAATATAGAAGGAATAAACGAGAGTTTAAAGCGGTTTACTGGCGAAACAAACTGCTTGGGATGGTTGTGAGAACTATAGAAAAGGTAAATAACTAGCCTAGCTGACGGCTCGTAATTTACAGATGTTTTCTCGTATTCTCCCAACCATCCCGCGCAGTTTATTTCGCCAGTAAACCGCTTCAAGCTATCGTTTATTGCTTACGTAACAGGCAAAATGTATGTCGATAAGGACGAACTACAAAATTAATATTTGGCGAAGTTATCTTTAAGGTATAATTTTGCTTATACTTATCAAAAACAAACAACAAAGCCATTGATGTTGCTACACGAGCGAGAGATTATAACTGATCTAAATTACGCAACAACGCACGTGTATATCGATGTTTACGTCAATCGACAATTAACACTGATCACTAAGTGATTACATAACGCACGCAGGATGTGAAAACGTCACGTACCTACAACGTCACGTACCTACAACATCGGTTCTCAACTGAGTCTTCTCGCACCTGGACAATTAATCACACCTACATCGCTTTAAATAAAAAGCTTAAAATGGATTAATTGAACTCTATTAATTAAATCAACYATGTATTAGATTTCTATTCATATATAACTGCCTACCTCAAACGACACTAAAATACATTAAATCATTAAAATGTGTACACAAGACAAAGCTGTATGACGTTTAAGGAAAGAAAAAACAGATTTAGAAATAGAACTCATAAGCTGGCTTTCTAACTCTATTGTCATTTGAAACCAGTTAGTTGCAGTTTTCTCAGCCAATCAGAACGCCGCGGTTAAACTATATAAGTGTCAAAAGTCGCCGATGAATCATAAAGCAACATTTCAATGATATATCGACAGCGAACAGATACACTAACAAAGATGGAGGGCTTCAACAACTCACTCACAAACCACTCAAATAACTCAGGACACGCCGAGAGCATTGTTGAAATTGCTAAACGTACATCCTTTGTATTGGTCATTTTACTGGGAATTTTTGGCAACGTCTTCGTHATCATACTCGCGACAAAATACACAGTACGCAGAAACCTGAGCCATTTGATCATCAACATGGCYGTGTCAGATACACTATTCCTTGTCGCTGCGTTCCTTGTGCCTCTTTCCTGGATTTCGAACAAGAAATTGACTATCAA